AAGAATAAATAAAGAACAGTCTGATTTCCATAATTTTATTGTAAAAATTCAGTGCTTTAAAAAAGACTTAACACGGCCGTACATGGAGTAAATATCCTAGCTGAACTTTAAGATATTGCATTTGGCCGGAGGTTCTTCGCATGTTTTAACTATTAAAAAGCCCACAGCAAGCAAAAGTCTTGGTTTTTCAAATAAACTTTGGCATGATCTGGATCGGAGTGCAATCTCTATTTCTCCTTGATTTGATTTATGCACGTGCGAAGATTGAAATGGCAAGTAATGCTACCCTTAACTTAAATGTGGCTTTACACCGATAGGCGGGCATTATATGGATGAAGTCAATAGGGGATATCAGATATAACCTTCAAAGTGTGAGTGGGCTAAAATATTCTACGATGGTTTTATAATTGAATCCCAGCGATCCGTGTATGTGATGGACTCGTGCATAATGCATTTTTTTAATGCCGGTAAAATACCAATTTTTGTCACGAAGAATGCTCGTGTCCACACCGAGAGGTGATTTATTACATGCCTTTAAAATCTGCTCACGAACTCGTGTACACATGCCTGAGTGGAAGCTCGAGATAAGATTGGAGTGATAATGTGAGCTAACACGACAAATGACTTACTTGATCTAGAAATTAACAAATAAAGTAGTATATCTCCACACTATTGGTCAAAAATGAAGCCAGACACAAGGCCCTAAGAGAATGCGAAAAAATAGAGGGATTAAGTATCTAAGGCATGTGGCACTTGAGAAGGGATACACGCGTGATAATCACGACTTGATACTAGCTCGTACTAAGGCTGACATATTACTATCATAGTCGCTTGAAAAAATACCGAATACAATAGATACTATTTTTCGTATATAGGTAGACTTTCGAGACTACCAGTAAATGTGTTATATGACATGCATTCACCCTATTTCGTTTAAGCTGATGAAGAACTGGTAGAATTTTCCCACAATTGTATGAGTTTCCATTAAATTTTACAGAGCCTTGCTTTCCCAAAATGTGTTTCCATCCAGTGTAGACTGCAGTTTCGACCTTGCAATGGACTTATCCACACCGCCAGTGGTTAATGTGCCGAGCTTGCATGCACTGTCGAGGTTCGACTCCCATTGGAGGTGTTGATAAGACGTATGCGGGGCCGGAACTGCAGTCCAACCTGGATGAGAACAACTTTTGGAGTTGGGTCCGAGCAAAATTTGAAGACATCGTAAAGCATTCTCATCTGATGGGAACCCACAACTATTTGTCTTAAAATAAGCTAATTAAGTTCTTATTAAAGAATTGTTGATCGTATAGAAATCAAGGTGGTATATACATGTTTTTCGATTAATGTCTACCATAAATATGGTTAAGAAGCGATACGGCTAGCACTGTTACCAACTAGGACACGTAGTTGTGTATCGGAGTGTTAGCGTCGCTACGATTATTACTACCAGCTACCCAATCTCTCTGTGGTGCTGATTAGACTTAGGCGAATTTGAAACTTTACCCTGGATGAGGAATTGAATGGAATCTTTAGGCCAATATATATAATTAAGGAAAAAACTATTACCAGTCCTTAATTCACCTTAAGCGACCTAGGGTTAAAAATTCCTTACTAATTTTGAGTTGTGTATATAAGACAATGATTTTCAAATACATAAGGAAAGAGCTGGCTTGTTATTTATATATGCTGGTAGGGTCCCATAGCCCCTAAAACGATGCTTGGTACAAGTGGTGGAAGTGATTATGCTTCATTAAATCAACTTGAATTGATACGCTCATCCAAAAATGGAGCAAATGATAGTAACTCTGTATAAACAAATTTGCTCATTAGGTCGACTTAATCCCACTAAGCGACGACGAGAATTTTCACCATTTGTCTACTAACAAATCATTAACTAATTATGCCTTTGTCAAATCTGCCATTCACCTAATTTTGGGTTCTTAACTAAATATCACCCCCGCCCAGTAAATTGTTTAGCCTTCTACAATTCCTGTCTTAGTCTACAATAACATTTTTGGCAGGTAATTATAACAATACATTTTGGATGCATGATGGGAGAGCAAAGTTGTTGATACAATAATGCTAGGCCAACCTGTAATGGATAAGCCTTGAACGTGTGCCCCTCAGGCACATGAGACCGGATCGCTGACATACATAGGGCGTCATCATCCTCGCCGATATCGCCAATATTAGGCCAACTTATCGGCACATCGGCCAGCTGGCCAACGCGTTTTTTTTTGGCCTGCATCTGACTTATTAACGGCCCAAGTAAACGTCCTAACTGAGCGTCCCAGACTGAGTCGGTGGTTGAAAAGTCAGCTGGAGAATCAAAGGTCTGAGAAGCCTCATCTATTCTCCATTGGTTAGCCAAAGAACGAAGAGCATCCTCAAAGTGTCTAACATCTGCTGAAATTGGCTGACTGGAGCCGAGTGTCGGACCAAGAAGGCTGCTTAGAGCCAGTCCAGTTAATTGGTTATCGCTCCCGGTCATGCTTTGTATTGCCTCTGGTGAAAGCGCGTGCCAATGGGATGGGTTCTGAAACGCGTTACAGTTTTACGTGTTTTCGTAGTAGTACATGTATGAGGAAAGTAATAAAAGAGAGATAAAGACATCTAGCAAAAAATGAAACTCCTGTATCGTCCATAGCTCAATGCAAATAGGATCAATGAAGCAGCAAGCAAACCATGAAGCTTTGTGCATGTAGAAAAACTGGCTTTCAAGAATGCCTTAATATAGTAGTGCTGGAATACCTTTCGATTCGTTTGAAAAGGCGAGTGGAAGGGATTCGTAAATTGGCCCACCGGAAGCGGTAGGAGGATAGCCTTGTGGCTATGACTGTAGATTTTTGCGAATGTCATCGGCGCATGGCCCTGTGGCACGATGAAGCCTTGCCGACTTTTCGTCCGTCATGTGACGGATATCGTCAGAGCAGGACACCATGCCTAACGATAATTCTACATACCTACATAGTACCTATTGATATGAATGTTTTCGAGAATCATCACTTTACACTCAGACAAAGAAAGCACTCACCCGGAAAGTCAACAATAATTATTTGATAATGATGTTTTTTACTTAGGGTTGTTTCTAAGTTTGAGACCAAATTTGCCAATTAGGACTGAGCGAGTCCTTAAGAGGGCGTCCTAGGATTTAGGTAATATTAGGACCCAAGAAAACATTATAAAATTATCCTCCTTGATAAGGAAAAAGCAGATAGCGCTAATCATTGACGGGTACTCTTAGCTTGGAAGATTTCTCTGCTACAAGGGATGGCAGATAATTCGTATAATATTGTTTTTCAACAGGTTAGATAAAAACATGATAAGAAACTTAAAAATTTGAGTATAAGAATCAGGACAAAGGCTAATCAAAGTACGTCTATGAGACAATAGGGAGCAATAGATAGTTGGTGAGAAAGTGGTAAACCTCTCCGAAACAGCCTTGGACGTTACCACCGAGAAAGTGCCCTCAAAAGATTTGAACTTTGCTTTACCAAACAGTAAGGATAATAGAGAAGAGATCTTGGTGGAATTCATAAGTTTTACCGACCATCTTCCAATAGAGACTGTGAGTGATATTTAATCACAGGCCATTCATTTAATTGATAACCAGGTAGAAATAACACTCAGGAATAAGAGAGTTAAAAACATCATAGGGAAACAGGATGACGAGTACCAAATTATGTTGAGGGCAGACAAAGGAGGAGCAGTGGAAGTTATGGGTAGGTTGAGCTATGTAGAAAAAATGTTGCAGGCTTTGTATGACGCTACCACATACAAGACAATCATTATGGAGCCCACATAGCACTCTAAGTCTAGACTCAGGGGTTTCCTGCAGCATTGTGTTACAAACGGGGAACTATAGATGTAGAGGATGAATACGATTCTTCAACGGGATGCTAGGCCTTCGACTACACATGGTCTGCCCAAAATACACAAAGATAGAGTGCCACTTAGAATTACTGTGAATAATAAGGAAAGCGTGATGCATAAAACATCACGATTTATTAGTAACCAGTTAAGGCAAATCTCCGAGAAGTGGAAGGTTTAGTTAAGAATTATTATGAATTCGTTAACTTAGTCGATGAGCCTGAGATAGAAAGTCGGTATTTGCTGGTAAGTATTGATGTTGAGTCTATGTACACTAACATTCCTTAGATGATCCCATTCAGGCCTTGTAATCCACACAAGACCAACACACGAAGATTTTAATAGGCACGAAGTTAAGTAAATGGCCAATAATGATACTGACCAATCTAGCGATGCTGTACATATTTTACCTTGAATGGTAAATTGTACGAACAAGCACGAGGTTTAGCTATGGGATTGTGTTTGTCACAAATTTTATCAAATAATTACATGGCTCAATTTGAGGAACGCCTAATTTAGGAGTCCCTTTTACCCCTAAATTATTAGTTAGCTATATGGAAGACTACTTTGCTATTTGGCAATGTGGTATAGGAAACCTAGAGAATTTGCTTTGTTTGAGGAACAGGATCGTTGGGTAGACGAAATTCACCATTGAGTTAGAAAAGGAAGGTAGTTTAACATTTATCGATGTCCTAGCTGGCAAAGAGGAGACCAGATTAAGTAGAGATGCGTAAAGGAAACCTACAAATTCAGGTTACCTTTTGAATTTCTTTTCCAACCACAGTTATGGGGATAAAGAAAAAGTAATGACGTCTATGTTAATAAGGAGCCTGTGTCTGGCATAGCTTGGGCTAAATTGGATTGCAAGAGAATAGGTTGTAAGATATTTCGCCAAAAGGGAGGTGAATCATTTTAAGAAACGAAACGAGTAAGAAGAGGTTTAACCTCGTTTTCGATAAATGGCTGGGCTATCCTAAATGAACGAAACCGGAGTCCTCTGCCACAGTAATCATAATAATTTTGCAACTTAGGGCCGTTGAATTAGTATTTTCCGAGAGGATTTGTAGACATCACCAGTGAGCACAAAGCTACAACCCATAACAGAGACAGATAAAGTCCATCCTTTGATCAACTTTCTGCTCAATCATATCTCTTTGGTACATTTACGTATCCGATATCGTGTCTAACTCCTTCTATCCCAATTACTAACTATGTTATTGTGATCTATTCCCGAGCTGCCCCTTTAAGAACAGATTTTGTCAGACATAATGACCCTTCCCGCATTGTACAGGAATTGTAAACTAGACTTCACTATTTTATTCGATAATCCGCTTTATCCTAATCTTATCAGAATCTCCCCTGTGGCCTCGAAGTTTGATTTCTTAATTCCTAGGTATACTGATTTCACTGGACACGCCTTCCAATATGTTATTTTAATTGTTATCTCTTCATATCCATGTTTTTGCAGTCTGTTTTTTCTTCACAATTCACGAATATACCTTGGCTCACAGTCGCTGCATGTTATGCAGTAGAGTCCCGAGAAATTCTGTTAATTCGCCATGTTGCATAAAAAGCTTGTAAAATGTGTTGTATTTTGCGTCTTCAAACCTAAATATTCAATTCTTTTGTCAGCGATAATAGTTTTTGAGTCAATTTACATGAGAGTAGGCATATCTACTTTTAGAAAACTCTATCATAACCAATTTTATTTTACAATCTTAATAGTGTTATCTGCATTTTACAAACATTTATATTTCCTTTTATGATAATTATGAGGTACCTATTAATGAAGATCATCAGAGTTCGTTTATATAACTATTCTTTTCAGAAATTCATGACCTCTAGCCCCAAAGCTTTGATAATTATATGCCTCCAAAACGAGATCTTCAAACTGCAGATGTGATAATACTGGAATTCTACGATTATTCCTTAATGGGAGTTCTATTTGAATAGTTTTCTCCTAAGTTTCTCGTTGAAGCATACAAACTAAACGCCCAGGGATGGTAGATACTCTTCATCATCCCCCTCTGTTATTAATTTGATTCTTTGGTCAAACCGCTTCAATTAAGTACACATTTTTTTAATTTCAAATTATAGAGAATGTATGTCCTTGTTATCAAGCAACCTAAATGAACATGCCTTTTTTATCTGCCAATAAATTCAAGAAAATTTCCAGCGCCAGACTGTGGACGTTATACATTACAAGACAATTTATCGGCATAGTTAGCATCAAACTAAAACTCACAAAATATGCTTGTCTCATCAAAGATTTTAGCGAAATATCTGGGATTCTAGCAAGTCCACAGTCCGGTGCGACTATAGCAGAGGACTATGTAAAAGGCCCGTTCATCTAAGTCGTCCTGAAAGGATGACCAAGTTACAAAAAGAAGGTAAAACAATTTACTTCACATTTATTCACTAAAGGAGGCAAAAGTGGCGACCTCAAAAGCAATCCAAATATTGGCTAATAGAAATTACCATTAAATGTTATTAGGTAGTCCATATTTTCTTGTTGATCAATCGTATTTAAGACTCCATCTGGATTAGCTCTGTTTCCGGAATATTTCGACTATGTATTCGTGTGTGCTTGTGTGCACATGGATTGGACATAAGAACTTAAAAACTACTCTTTTCCTTATATTCCTGTTTTTGATTCTTAGAGATATTAATTTCACTCTGTTTTGAGCCTCAAACATGAATTTTTTCTGAGGACTGTGTTCATTCTATTTCGTTTAAGATAGTGAAGGAATGTTAATCGAAATTTCCCACAACGATATGAAGACTTGATATTTTTAGTTAATTTAACATAGTCTTGTTTCCAAAAATGTATTTTCATCCAGGGCTGATTGCAGTTTAGACCTCGCCTAGGTCTCATCCGCACCCATAGCGGGATTATAACCCGGATAGTGCATCAGATGGTTTCGACGCATAACCACTACACTACACTGCCACGAGTGGCTCTGAGTCATAGACAGATGTCAATTTCAAAGATGTCTAGGCCCTTCTCAGTTCACATTTTTGTGCTGGGATTGTCGACGAAGAAAAGTTGTATTTGCTAAAGTAATCGAATTAATTACTTGTTGTTAATAGACGTCAGCACTACTCATATCTTTGTGGAAAAATTTATCTACCAGTCCTTCATTATCTTAAAGGAAATAGGGTGAATAAATCCCGTATTAATTATTTTCAGGCTTTCAAGACTATTTATAATATGAACACAATGGATGAGAACACTTATCGGGGAGTAAGGGTATGTGAAATCCATTAGAAATATAACGGCTAGTCGTATCACTGTGAAAAATTTAACTACCAGTACTTCATCACTTTAAACTAAACAAGTTTAATACGACCCTTAGAACATATCTACTGGTAGTCTCTAAAACCTATTTATAAAGTGAAAATGGGTTACCCCTGTTTGTGAGTTTATCCATGCTTGCTGCCGATTCTCAGCATTTGTGGTTCTCCATACTTGTGTAGCAATGGCAATTCGTAGGCGTCTTGCGTTATTTTTTAAAGAGGAATTCATCAACCACTCGCTTATTTATCCGTTTCAAAGCATTTTTGAATATGTCTTTTACTCTTCCGTTGATATTCGTTGTTGAGTCTTTCATTTTCTTAGTCTCTTTCACCTGAAATGTGGGAGGATCTCTTGTGGACCGCGTCAACCTAAACGTCGTATTAAAGACTAAATACACCAGAAAAAAGGAATCAGCTATTGTATTCTATTCTCTTCATCATGCACTTTTATACGAAATGCAAGTCCCCCAACAATACTTTATGATATCGCTTTTCCCTTATCAGCTAGAATGAATATTAATATGTCAGTAGGAAATTAAACAAGATAAAAGTATTTAGACCACATGGATACAATCTATGCATAAGAAACGTGAAATCCTGTCTCAAACTTCCCATATTATTAATAAACAATTTTAAATTAACTTCCTACTTGTTAGACTAACAAGGAATGCCTTTTTGATTGTTGAGTACGGTAAGATAGATAAAAAGCCAAGCAACTTTTTCGTGTTTTGTCTTTGCCTTAAAGTATTTTTTACTAAAAAGCTAAGCGGACTTGTAAGGAAGCGGGTAATAATAACGGTTTAATAAAATTATGATATTTTCTTCAATAATGCCCAGTTTTTGATTAAAAGTTGACCTATTATCCAGATCAGGCTACTTTAATATAGTGTGTGCATGAGGTCACTTCCATGTTGGAGAGACTTGCCGCACGAATCGAAAAAGGGTGGCTAAGTAGAAGAAGCCAGTAGATTGTTGGGTTCAAAAAACAGAGTAAGCAGAGCACACGGTTTAAATCGGACATACGATTAAATAGTCTAAAACTTGTCGTTTTGTTGATAATGGTATGACTGCAGCCAAGAAAACTTTAGAGAGACCAACAAAATCAACTGAATAAAAAATAAATTGAATGTATTGAATATCAGCAAGAAGCTAAATAAGAACTGATTATGTTTAAGTAATAGTCTCAAGAAAAAAGAGGAAGTTGGGCCGCCTGAAAAAGCAATTAAATCAACTAGTATTTCTTGTCTTGGCTCTAATTAAGATCACTTTTCTGTATATTTTCACCCACTCTTTCTCTCTCATATAAAGCTAATGTTCCGCCAAATTTTATATGAATTGTGTATCACAAAAACAATTCGCGCAGTAGGCTTGTACTTACCTTCACGTCAAAAATACACGCGGTTACCAAGTCTGAAGGCTGAATATTTGCATAGAAGTTAGTATGGTTGTAAAGGCATCCGATGCTCAAGTAATCAGAATAGTGGTTATGGTTTCTAATTGACTTTTGCATTCCGCCAACAGGATGTAGGTAACGCTGTCCAGTAGTCGACTCCCAAAAAATAACGTTATTCAGATAATCATCCTAAAAATAACATAACAAATCGTCAATTCAAGAGAAAAGCAGGATGCTTTGGAGCATAAATATGGGCGTTGAAAAGGAGCTCGTAAATCCCATAACTTATTGAATATGCTATATCATTCTTTGTATGGAATCTCGGATGATTCAAATAATTTTTAATCTGTATATATTTAAACTGTATCGCTCTTTAATATAATAACTTAGATTCAGAACTAAATTGTCGGATATTTAAGATTATGGGAAACTTATTGAACAAGATGTAAATGTGTCCCTTATTTTACCAATGAACTAAATAAGACATAAATTTACCTGAAATAACTTTTGATTGAAGAACTTTAAAAAAAGATCTAGTCCTCTTAAGTAGTAAGGCGTGATGAAGGAGTAATGGTTAAATTTTACCATAATGGTATACATAGGCCTCACGATGCCATTGAATTTCTCGTAGACTTTCTTTAAAAAAGGTATTCTCATCAAGTGTAGACTGCCGTTTCAGCTTAACATGGGTCTCATCAGCACCTCCAGAGAGAATTTAACCCGCTAGTACATCGTTACTTTGCAACGTATGCTGCTAAGACACACAGTTGTGTCGGGCCTTTTAACTCATTATTAGTGTAGAAACCTACTTTATATTATTATAAGTAGTATATTCGATATCGTTATTGAAAATCCCGCTATAGATATTATATTGGGCAATTGTGCCAATGTGGCGTAGTGGTAACATGACGAGAGTATATCCTGGACTTTGCGGGTTCAATTCCTGATAGTGCTGATGGGGTCAATATGATAGACGAAATTGCATTTTAGCCTTGATGATGATACCTGTTGTAAAGTAACTCTGAACGAAATTCAATCGCATAAAGCCTATTTATAATATTGTTAAGTAGACCTTTATTTCGTATAAAATATGAGATTCTAAGGTCGATCCCATCAGAATACGACGGTTTAGTTAACTTGTAGAGCAGCCATTTGGCTTTAATGCAGCATTGAGACACTTCATGTGACATTCTCCCTCGTTTCGGGTAAAGACGGACTGAGCTTTCGCTCATCATATGATGCCATTCATTCTCTTAAAAGTACCATTTTAACACTAGGTCAAGAAAACCTCATATATATAGTCATAACTAGAAACGAAAATGTATAAACATAGAATAATGTCGAATGATGTGTGTGTGTGTGCGTATTTACGTCTATACACAATAGCGGTCCTAAATCAGTGATAAAAAAAGTTTAATTTAGGCTTGATAAACTAAGAAATACCAAGTCTGAGATTGCGTAAGTCTAGAGCATTTCTGGCTGAGATAATAATGTGTAAGCTCTTACGTGTGAAAGTCTGCTTACGAAACTACCCCTTCATAACATGTCGGTCAAGGGTAATTAAAGCTTAACGATCCAAGGAAGAAATGACATAGAATTGCGTAATCTCGTAAGTCTGGTTTGGTTGGTGAGCTTAATCCGACATGATAATTTCCAGAGTCAAACCCTGGAATTGGTAAATTCCCAAATACTTCGCGGCACTACCAGCAAGCCTTGCTATTTTTCGCACCACACTAGTACTCGTCAAAGAAACAAGTTAAGTCGATCCTTTGACTAATTGCCTCCTAAACAGATGTGGTCTCTTTTTCTCTGTCCTAGTGAATTTACCTATCCAATTTCCTCGTAACACTCCTACACTTTAACAATTTTGCACTTTTTTATCTAAACCTAGTCTAGATGTGCCCTTTTGAGCGGAGACCTATTGACTCTTCCCGATGTTTCCCTCATCCTCCCCTCCACTATGCTGGGAGTGTTGACCATCTTTAT